ACCCGCCACCTTAGGTGTATGTGGCTGGCGCCTTAGCCGCTTGAGCCACAGGCGCCAAGCCAAAACAATCTTTTAAGTGGTGACCAGATTCTCAGGCTAATCACAAGTAGCCTATTTAAAACCCAGATACTGCTACTCTCTTATACTAAGAGTAAAGGTGACAAAAATAGAGACCATCATCTATGGCTGTCTCTGTGGGAAAATATGTTAAAGATATTGCTCAGCTTTAAAATTACAGGTTCTGGCTTGGCACTTGTAGCTCAGCAGCTAGGGGACTGGCTACGTACACTGGGGCTGGTGGGTTAGAACCCGGCCTGGGCCTGCCAAACAACAATGGCAACTGCAACAAAAAAATAGCTGGGCATTGTGGCGGGCACCTGTAGTCCCAGCTACCTGGGAGGCTGAGGCAAGAGAATTGCTTAAGCCCAAGAGCTGGAAGTTGCTGTGAGCTGTGATGCCACAGCACTCTACCAACAGCAACATTATGAGACTTTCCTTCAAAAAAAAAAAAATTACAGGTTCTGATAATAACATGTGTGCATCCATATATATGTAGATGTATGTTAGTTCTCTTTGGATATAAAATGAGAAAAATAAAACTATAGGAACATCTTATAATTAGGAGCATTCATTTTCTACTTCATATATTTCTAAAATGATTAAATTTATCAGTAAAAATGAATTACTTTTATTGTTTAGAAAACAACTGAGAATTTTAAAATGTTACATTCTATACACTTAACAAGGGGTTGAAAAACCATGGCCAATAAAGCAAATCGAGTCCAATGCTTATTTTGTATGGTCCATGAGCTGAGAATTCGGTTTTTTTTTTTTGAGATAGAGTCTCTCTCTGTCACCCTGTAGAGTTCTATAGCATCATAGCTCACAGCAACTTCAAACTCTTGGGCTCAAGTGATCCTCTTGCCTCAGCCTTCTGAGTACTTGGGACTAAAGGCATCAACCACAATGCCTGGCTAGTTTTTCTACTTTTTTGTTTTTAGTAGAGACTCTTGAGCTCAGGCAATCAGCTCACTTTGGCCTCCCAGAGCGCTAGCATTACAAGAATATTTTTTCACATTTTGAAATGGTTGAAAAAAAATCAGAATAATATTTTGTGACATGTGAAGATTATATGAAATTCAAGTTTCAGTATCCATAAAGGTTTATTAGAACATAGCTCTATGCATCATTTACATATTGTCTATGGCTTATTTTGCAAAAAAATGGCTGAGTATTTGCAATAGAAACCATATGGACAGCCGAGCTCAAATATTTGCCATCTGGTCCTTTATGGAAAATGTTTACTGAAACAGTAGTGCAAATAAACAACAAACCATTATTTCTAAAGGTTGACTTTATGGAGGACTTTTACTTACTATCTTACACATTTCTGGGTTAAATATTTTAATATCAAATACTATGAATGTTGTAGTATAAAAGATATAAAATTAATTAAATGCATTAATACATTCTAGCAAAAAATTTAATCCTCTTATTTAAAAGATGAAAAAAGTTAGGCTCAAGATATATGACAGATTATCTGAGACCACACAGTTTTTTAATTCAATTCCATAGTTCCTGCTATGCTAGGGAAAGATGTACTCTTTGCATTCAGAGCCTCTGGGTGCTTATATTATCAAGATTGCCACTGACAGTAGGCAAGTCGTCTCTACAGGAAGCCTGAGTCTGGTGCTGTTGCCTCTGCTTGTGGCTTCAATGGTAGATACGCAAGTAGTTATTCCTCAGTTCTAGACAACTTCTATTAATCTGTTCAGATGTCAAAACTAGACTGTAAGCCAAGACTACTATCATGATGGTTAAACACTGGTTTTGGTTCTACATGAGACCACTACAGCTTAAGAGGAAAACATGCTTAGGACCATTTAATCATCCTGTCTAGGTGTACTCTTTTTTTTTTTTTTTTTTTTTTTTTTTTTGAGAAAGAGCCTCAAGCTTTCCCCCTGGGTAGAGTGCCATGGCATTACAGCTCACAGCAACCTCCAACTCCTGGGCTCAAGCGAGTCTCTTGCCTCCGCCTCCCAAGTAGCTGGGACCACAGGCGCCCGCCACAACGCCCGGCTATTTTTTGGTTGCAGCCGTCATTGTTGTTTGGCGGGTCCGGGCTGGGGATCCGAACCCGCCACCTTAGGTGTACGTGGCTGGCGCCTTAGCCGGTTGAGCTATAGGCGCCGAGCCGGTGTACTCTTCACATCACAAATCACATATGGCAATATGGCTGGGAATCAAGTCTGATAATAGGCATAATATTTCCCAGTACAAATTCACAGGTAGAAATAAATGTTTGCTTTTGAGTTATACAGCCAGGAAATTTATCAAACAATTACATTGTACCAACGCTTATTTTCATCCATAAATTTCAAGAAAGAACAAACACTGCTATCCAATTTTGAAAAAACGGGCAATAAGAAAGGTCTTTTAATTATTGTTTACACTTAGTAAGACCAATTAACACCCAAAGTAAATACCAAATGGTCCCGGCCAATCATTACTTACCATTTCTGAATAGGCTTTGTGACATACTGAAGCTTGGTAAGAATCATCAATGTGCATCTTTTTCAGAAGTTGACCAGTTTTTAAATTCCTTAGATACCAAAAATAAACCAATCACATTCTTTAACAAATTAATTTTCACATAATATTCTCTTATCCATCACTGCATCCTTTAGGTGACCAATGGAACACTAAGGGACCTAGTATCTTAGCTTTGTTTAGTCACAGGTTCAGCTAAAAGTAGCTCTGATAGATTAATTTTGCTGATTGTTTAATTTGACAGATTAGCCTTATGTTGAATCTGCTATGCCATTAGAGATAAATCTCTCCAAACCCCATGTGTTGTTCATTATTTCATTTAACTTGGTCTTGGTATATAATATAGCACTACCATGATTTTGTGACACTTCTCGTTAGGTCTAATTTTTCCATGGAAGATAATGGCCAGTAAACCAAATCTGGGTGGGTAAAAGACTACACCTAAAAAAGTTATATGTCTCTATTATGTGTATGTCTCTATTATGTGTATTTATACTAGAGCTAGACCAAGATAAAGGAGAGTGAAGAGATGACTGAGATGGGGTTAAAAGAAGGAAAAAGAAAGAACGGGGTGAATATAAAGAAGAAAAAAGACCAAGTTTGTTGGAATCACTCTCTAGCTTATTGATGATTTGTGTATTAATAATTGTCATGTTACTCTACTGATGAAAAACATTCAGTTGGCTACCATTATTTCTAAGATAAGCCTGCGTTCCTTTTCAGGGTATTTATAACCCTCGTGAATCCAGCAGTGCATTACATCATTACTCACTGTTCCAATCGCTTAAAGCTTTCTGTCTGTGGAATGTATTATATACATCTAGACCTTTGCTCAAACTAGCTGCTCCAACACCCACCCATTCCTTAAGGCCTGGATTATGTCCCACTCCCCTCCATGCTGCACTAACTCAATTTAGACTCTCACTCCTCCTTGTCTACACCAGTGCGAAGTCATCTCTCCTCCTCTAATTTTGTCCATATGCCTCGTTTTATATCTAATATATACTGAAATAGAAATAATGCCTTCATTCTACCAATACTAAGTTTTCTCTAGGCCAGGTACTGAAGAGGCTGGGCATGGTGGGTTATGTCTGTAATCACAGCACTTTAGCAGACCAAGATGGGAGGACTGCTTGAGGCTAGGAGTTCAAGACTAGCTAGAGCAAGAAACCCTGTCTCCATAAAAAATAAAAAAATTTGCTGGACATGGTGGCACGTGCCTGTAGTCCCAGCCACTTAGGAGACTGAAGATGGAAGACTTGGGCTTGAGACCAGGTGTTTGAGGTTGTAGTGAGCTATGATGACAAAACTGTACTCTAACCCAGACAACAATACAAGACCATCTCAAAACAAAACAAAAACAAAAGAAAACAACAACTAAAAAACACCAGTAGAAGGAAAATTAAATTTGCATGTGCATATACAAGGTTTTCCTCCTATCAGGACTACCAGAATACGTTTATCCCTTATTGAGTTTAGCATAATTGTTCATTACCCAAATCCCAAGTCACTTTGTCCAAATCTCTAATCACTCTGATATTGTGTAAACTACAAAGAAATTGTAAATGAAATCTTATATTCCAAGGTTTATACTAGGTTTTAGGGGGCTTGGGACCAAGATTCATATCTGATTCATCTCTGTATCTCAGAGAATAATGCATAGAGACCCAAATATCTGTTGAATGTTTAAAAAATGTTGAATGTGGCTTGGTGCCTGAAGCACAGTGGTTACGGTGCCAGCCACATCCACTGAGGATGGCAGGTTCGGACCCAGCCCAGGCCACTAAACAACTGAAACAAACAAAAAAAGCCAAACATGGTGGCAGGCGCCTGTAGTCCTAGCTACTTGGAAGGCTGAGGCAAGAGAATCACTTAAGCCCAAGAGTTTACGGTTGCTGTGAGTCTCAGCCTCCTGAGTAGCTGGGACTACAAGTACCTGCCACCCTTGGTATATGGCCGGTGCCCTCCTCACTGAGCTACAGGCGCTGCCCCATTCCTAAATTTCTTATTAAACTTTGCAACAGTATAAGTCAAATCAGGGACATATTAGTTCAAATTTATGGAGATAATGCCATGAAGAAAATGCCAGTGTACAAATGAATTAAACATTTTTTTGAGAAAAAGGAAAGTATCTCTGATGAAGAGAGGTCAGGGCAGCCAGTAGTCCAGTAATGAGCAGAACTGACAAAAACATTGCAAAAATTAGTGGAATTACGCATCAAAATCATCGGCTGACAGTGAGAAGCACAGCAGACCAAGTTAACATCAATAGAAGAACAGTAAAATCTTGATTTCACTGGGAGCAGGGACAGGGCTGACTTGAAAAAAGTGTGGCTCTTGCATCACAACAATGTACCAGCTCACACAACACTGTCTGTGAGGGAGTTTTTAGCCAGTGAACAAATAACTGTATTAGAATACCCTCCCTACTCACCTGATCTGGCCCCCATGACTTTTTTCTTTTTTTTTTTT